TATCGATAACAACGAACAAAATATAATCTTGAGATATTGAAAAGAGTGATATATGTAAAAGAACGATGTGGAGCTTGAACAGAAAAGCTACTTGTATCCCGGGAGAGAGCGATTACGCGCAGCGTGTGCATCTGTGTCGCGTACGAACACCTGCTCTTGCTGAAGAGAGTGTTTTCTATAATTTCCTTTCTACCGCGTAAAACGATACTGTGTGCCGTTGATATTTCAATTCTTACTCGGTCAAGTTTAATGCGAGGTCGACCAGTTCGATACCGCTTATAGATAGCACTGGTTTAATTCGCGTCTGTCATGCACGTCCCAGATGCCGATTTAGACGGACTGTGTCCGGCTTTGAAGCGTCGTCGTCCTCGATACTCGATTTCACGTCGCATCAACAACGATAGAACGTCGTATTGCGCCCGGCTTGATATCGCCACATGTTTCCGACGACGCTACTTTCGAATCGATGGACGTGCACAAATGCAACGTACGGATGGATTATACATACATGCTGAGGGAGGGGGGAGAGAGAGAGAGGGGGGAGGGAGAGAGAAAGCCAGTGCTTTCATGCTTTTTTCCAAATGCGCGCATATTTCACGCATACTTCGCATTTGTTTTATTTATATTCGCGTCCGGTATCAATCGCAATTTTATATTTTGTTTTCCGTTGCGATGAAAGCTCGAGATTTCTCATATTCTATCGCGTAATCCGGTAAATATTAGAAGTTATAGGTATAATTTGTCATATTGTAATATAGTATATTTTTAAAGCATTTACATTCGTCTTTACTATAATGACTTTTTCATCGATCGTATCGATGCATCAAGTGGGATTTCTTTCTATGGCAGTTGTAAAGCACATTTTTCATTAAATGAGAATAGGGCTCGTGAGGGAAGAGAAGATTATACTTGACAGTTCTAATGCTAATAGGGGCACAATGCAATCTGACTGAAATGTACAAAACCTACTGTAGGTACTTGTACTGTAGGTACTTGTACTGTAGGTACTTGTGTGGATGTGTGTGTCTATTCAATAATTTCTATAAAGCAACGCTGTAAAGCGAAGAATAGTTTTTTTTAACTTTAAAATTATGTGTATAAAGTCATATCTACATGTTTCTCAAATAATCCAATTTTATTAAATTCTTTCCAATGACTGCTCATATGCTTATGCAAAAATGTAAGAAATATTACTAAGCTAAAACGTACAATTTTAATTGTACATTTGCAACAATAATTATTTCAGAAATAAAATATAGTCCACATTTTTAGTTTTATATGTAAAACGCTTAACACAGGTTAATAGAAATTTTAAAAATATAAATAAATCATTTGCTAAATTTAGTAATAATGTTATACGTCGAGAATGTCTTTTTAGAATAAAATTTTACTAGTATTTTCTACCATTTCTTGTCTCTGTGTATTCCAGTTTACGTTTGGAGGATATATGGTTTACTTAACATATTTCTCTCATTGCTCAATGTCATGCCAGTCTAGCCCTCTCGTTTTATGGTCGGCGTATTAAATGATTATACAATATCTATTAATTAGTGTGGCGTAGAAGTGACTCGCGCGAGTAAACTTATGTTCAGCGAAGCGACTGATGTTAAAAAAAAAGATGTCACTTTTACGAAGTCTCGCGTGTGTCAATGTGTCAAAGTAAAGCTCGTTAAACTTTGTTTAGCTGCGCAACGCGATAATTTATCGGCTATAAATTACAAATAAGATAAATAGAAGAACCGTCTTCCTCCTCGATGCTGCGCCCGACGTTGAATTTTTCATGAAAAAGGTAACTCGTCAGCGATTGTGGACTCAAACATTTATTAAGCTGTATCTCGGTCGTTTCATCACGTTGTTGTTAAAGAAAACTTGTGTAAAACGCTTAAAAGAGAACATCTTGTTTAATGGGTAAACTCGGGATAAACTATGAAGTTATCGGCCATTTACGGAATACTTTCAGTCTTCATTGCGAAATGCTTCTTTTTATCAGCATCTCATTAAAAATAAGATATTGTTATAATGTCTATATTTCTCTTCTATTACTAGTTTTGTTGCACACAAATAAATGGAAGCTTACAAATGGTTGAGATTGGTTTTCCATTAAAACGAGTAAAGCTGTGCAGTGAGATTAGCAAAAATGCATCACGTGAATAAACATATAATTTACAAAGAGATAAAAGAGTCTATAATAAATTTAAATCCGCTAATAATCCCGTAAGAGTCAAATAGATTTAAAAAAGTGCATGGCAAGCAATTTAATTTAATAAAGTGGAAAGTTTTTGACTTGTTAAAAGTCGAAATGAATGAAGCTATATTAATACATGTATTTTCGAGTCTTCTTAGTCATTTTATTCTCTTTATTGTTTAAAAAATATTTCTCCTTTAAAGGTCAGGAATTGGATCGTACGGAATTAATACTCGTTTCACTCCTTAAAATCTTCTCCTGCAGAGAATTCGAATACAAGAGCACTGCATTGTATGCATGCTCCCTGTAAAGGAATTCTATGCATCGATTATATTTTTTTCTCTCACTTTTAAAATCATTTAGGTCACGTCTCTCGACAGTAAAGCTAAAGCACTCATGACGAGGTATAGATTGTAGAGCACAAACAACCCTTCAGCTCGAACATCCGTCGACCTGCTCGACACGCGTGTTCGAGGCAGACGCGTGAAATAAAAAAAACGTGGTTTTGGAATACTGAAATCGGCTTTGCGCAATAAATTCGATGACATTTGAGATCTAACAGATATATCGAAAACACTCCCACGATAATTGCTACGCGTTGAAATTGGATATCGCGACGAGACTTGACACTACGTACTCGAAACGTACTCACGCCCGTGTAACTCTTAAACGTTAACAAACGAAACGTCGTAGCGACGAATATCCATTTCAAATGTGGATTCAAAATCACGTCAATTTTCTCGACTACTGCGTCAGTAATTTTATTACCCGGGGAAAAATAAATATATCTCATTATATATGTCTCAATTATGTAATGTCTAATTATATATCCAATTCTAAAATTATCAAATCTTCAGATACTTTTATTCAATATTCCAAGATATGTCTATTGAGATTTAACTAAATGTCTTAATAGAACGTTTAATTAGATTTATTCAGATCTCAATCAAGTACCTCCAACACCTAAGAAAAGTGTCAAATCTCTGAATATCTGCTGAATTTTAGAATTGGATCTCATGAGATATAATTAGATATTACATGATTAAGACAAATATAATTACATTTTTCCCGGGTAAGTTTACACCATATTAAAGAATTAATTATATCGTACACACCGCTAGAATGTCAGTCTGACCGCAAAGCGGAAATATTTACTTTGCGTTACTTCTTTTTAGGGGAGACAGACTTTCTGTTCGGACAGCAAACCGATTGTGAACTTCTTAAGTAAATAATTTATTTTGTATTCGCGCTTCCCTTTTCTTTCACTTTGGACAGCTTAAAAAATACACCGTTATGTATTGTCTGCGAATATATAGAGGAAAGTTTTCTATTATGAGGTAGGATTCTAATATGAGGTAGTAGGTTTTCGACGTCCAAAAGATTACGCGATCTAACAATCAATTTTCCACAAAACAGGTTTCACTCCAAGGGCAATAAATTCACGGTGGAACCAACAGATGACGCCTATTAATTTAGCAGAAACCCCGCTGTCTCCTATTAGGGGACTCCCCTCAATTTTTTTATCAAACATTGCATCGTTTTCTAGTTTTCTTCCTGTTAATCACGAGTAGCTAAATTCCCAATTAACTTCAACTAATATTTATGAGAACAGGTCACGGTAAACGTGACTTACAGGCTGATGAGAATTAATTCAGATGAGATCAATTTACATGTAAATGTAAAATTGCCCGGTTCAAATGAATCATATTACGTATTCAGTGGCTAAAATTTGAAATACGAGGGTGGTCGGAACGTACGGGGTCGCATGGCGCGGCGGTCATTCATCGTGAAAGAGCGCTCGTATAATTAGCCGGGAATTGCGAAGGCGGCCGCACGGAGTAATTGAGAGAGTACGAAAACCGAAAGAGGTCTCATTCGCGTATAACGAAGAACGAGTTGAGTTCTTGGGTCCGCTGTCGAATATAACTCGCTAAAAGTATGCGGCGATACGTTGCAAAAGGGTGCGAACTGCGAGAGGTAACGTCGCGGGACTAGAGAGAGGATAAACTTGCGACGTACGCACACATTCGCTCCAGTTACCGCCAAGATTTCCACGCAAGTTTTTTTTTCCACAAATATCGATCCAATCCTCATTGGACGAGCCATAAACTCGGCTAATCCGCGAGATGATTACTTTTCGGCTCGGCATTCAAATTCATTGATCGCGGTGAGGGGGATTTTGAGATTCGCTGAGATAGAAATAAAACTACGCGAAAGTGGGGTGAGAGAGATAGTGGGGGGGAGGGGGAGAAAAGTGAGAAAAGAATATCGTAAACGCCAGAAAAAAGTGACAAATCGCCGCGCGTTCTTCCTAAAATCGTATTTTATCGCGATTTGTCAAATATCATCCCTAATTTGATGTATTCCAAATGAATCGGAGAACTTGCCAAGGGAGCTGCACGAATAAATAAAGCACGAATTGATTTCCGTCCTCGCAATCTATCTCTATCAAGATTCTGCCGATTCACTTCTGGAACATCTATTTATATCTTCATCCCCGATAGCTCGATTGCTCCGTCAAGTGCTAAGGAAACGATACATACGCGATGAATAGTCGGGTAAGAGCAGTTAAAATAGTCAAGTCCAAGTCCTTCGCAAGGTGCGGAGTTTCTTAATCAGCCGTCCATGTATCATTAATCAGCCGACACTGCGGCACAAGTGTACGAGCATGCAGCGGAATAAGAGGGTGGTAGGGAAAATAGAGGAGAGAGCAGAAAGCAGCAGCGTTTGCGGGGGTGAGAGAGGAAGGGGCGAGAAGAGGTGGGCGGACGCGCGCGCGGCGCGGCGCAGTCAGCGAAACAGCAGGATACCGCACCTGATCAATTAAGCTGCTAATCGTGCCGAAATCACTACTGGCCACTGTCGCCACTATTATCCGAGTCGAGTGTGTCCTCCACTATCTCGCGTATCGAGAATCCGACTGCGTGTCCCGCTCGTTTTTTGGCATCGTCGTCTTCCGCCGTTTCGTTCCTCCCACGTTTCCGAATCACTACTCGTCTCGGTTGGTCGAGTGGTTATTGGATGGACGAGGGGCCGACGCGACACGACGCGGCCAGATATCATAAATCGGCCTGGCCTTTCGTTGACAGCTGCTCGTTGAGGCGGCGGCAACGAGCACGAACGCGGTGGCGGACGAGCTTACGAGCTTGCGCGACCCTCGCACCTCGCACGACTAACCGAGGCCTGGAATCGGGGCTTGCCTGCCACCCTTACCTTTGCCATGAACATTCAAGAGCGGCGCCACGAGCGCTACCCACGGAGAAACTACCCCTTTGGATTCGGATCTGCTTCGTGGGGGAGGGTTGCGCCACGCCAGCGATATATCCGGCTAGCGCACAGCGTAAAAGCTTTCGAGACCCGTTCAATTGCGCGCGCATGCATTCTCGCTCGTCGCTACGTTTTTCGCACAGCATATTTATCATAAGAATAATAATCGTTGTTACTTTATCGGGCTTACGTTTCATGCTTTTAACGCGTGACATTTGCCCCCTTCGTTCCATCCGACACTTTTGCCAATAGCATTTTCTTCTATCGATAGCCTTTTCCCGAGGAGAAATGGAAAGTCAAGATGACGTCAATTTTATGTCATATTTTGGTCCACGTGGCATCCAATTCGTGTCATCTTGACTTCTCACTTCTCCTTGGGTTCGTCTAGTAACTATCTACTAATATTTGAGAGGTATTCTTTTCGGCAGTTTTTTCTCATATATTTTACTTATATAGTTAAAGAAAAATCTCTAATCAATGTCAGATCTGAATGTGCGATAGAAAATAATTTATTAGGTATATGTTATCATGGCGAATGAGGTGCAATTGCATCAAGAAAATACATTTCTTGTGACTAATACACCTTTTAAAATAGCAAGATACATCAAATTCATGCATTTTCTAGTTTGTAATTATCCGCTTGTGCACATAGTTGTAAAATATGTATTTTTATTAAGGGGTAACACCACCCCTAAGGCCCTAGAACTATATCTAAGTTTGGGAATTTTTTGGGGGCAAATGAATAGCTTGATTAAAAAACACATAAACCACATTATTGTGCACATACTTGACTATAAAAAAATATTTTTAGTAGTTATAATTATTAAAAATGGCGGCGTACTGGCACACTTCCGTAATCGCACTTTTTAAGCTTTGCGTGCAACGCTATTCTTATAATTTTTATTCGATTAACTTGAAATTTTAACATGGTCTTCTTCTATAATATATATCGCGCAACAAAGTACGTAGGATTTTTGAAAAATATTGAAAACTTTTTTGCAATCACAATTTTTTAAATCAAATTCTCGACCAAAAAAAGGTACTTTTTCTAAAATAGCTGTCATTTTGGAAAAAATGGGTATTTTCTAAAACGGCTACGTAGTTTGTAACTTCAACCAATATAGAAAATAAAAATTTTTGGATTTTTGTTCTAGGGTAAACCATCTCAGAGAAATCCTGCACGCAAAATCGCGTCTTCGGAAAAAGTCGATTACGGAAGTGTGCCAGTACGCCACCATTTTTAATAATTATAACTACTAAAAATATTTTTTTATAATCAAGTATGTGCACAATAATGTGGTTTATGTGTTTTTTAATCAAGTTATTCATTTGCCCCCAAAAAATTCCCAAACTTACCATAGTTTTAGGGCCTCAGGGGTGGTGTTACCCCTTAAACGACAATGTTTTATTAATCAAAGTGTGCACATCTTACTACGAATTTCCTCATCTACGTTCCTTCGCTTCATGGTGACTTGCTCGGGATTTCTTTTCCTCGCGTCTTTCTCGTTGAGCAACCACCTGTAACTCCTTTGAGATAGGCATTTCAAGTTGCATGCATTTCCGTCTTCCCTTAACCCGAACGTTGCAACTCATTCGCATCGTTCTGTATGGATACTTTTTATATGGATCAAAAACCTGTAAGTCCGTATCAGACTACGGATTGAGATTGAGATTAGATTGAAATTCGACCAATCAGAGTAAAGTTTACTAATATCAAGTTTAATTTATTTTACTCTGATTGGTTAAATCTCAATCTAATCTCAATCTCAATCCGCAGTCTGATACGAGCTTTAATAGTATTCTAGCTGAACGTTATCTGCTTTCAATAAATTTTCGTTGTTAAACTAATTATTCAAATTCATTCCAAATTTTTTTCCCCTAGAAAATAGTATTGTTTCTCTTCTTTCAGCTATCCGATAAAGTTTAAAGTTTTTATTTGGTAGGCGTAGCTATTTCTTGTTTCTCTCCGTGAATTTTTAATTATTTAATTTTTATATTACGAATGTACTGATTTCTGCGTGGATTAATGCTGAAGGGCATTTTATTAATTACAATCTTCAAGTTTATAAGAAAAAGTAGTACATAATACACTAACTAATTAACAACACAGATATATATAAAAAAACATACTATGTATCGGCGGTTGAACAAATTAATATAATTGTGAAAATAGATGTTCTATGTTACTCGCCATTCATAAAATAGAAAATATGTATGTAGTGTTCTTATCAACATCTGGGAAAACAGAAAATTTATAAACCTAACAGGAAACGTCCGACACATACTTGCAATACAACTATAAATAATAATACGTATTTCTAAATTAAAGTCGGAATATTAATAAAAAGGTAGCAATGAAAATTAATCTATAATATATGTATATTCATTTTTTGTCTAGAGAGTAATACTCACTCGTAATACTCACTCACAGTAATACTCGCACTGCAAAATATGGAAATATATGTGTAGAAGATAAATTTCTGCACACTTGCTCCATATACTTGATGAATATTTACATTTAGCATTTGTTATTCTATTGTATGTACATTAACATTTGTAAATTTCACGTACTAAAATACTTCGTCCAGGAAATAAATTTTAATTTGTAAGTTAATCATACTACCCATACAACACAAAAGCTTGCAACAACATTGCTGCAACATTGCATATTGCAGTGTAATGTTACATAGATATTGCAGAGACATTATTTTACAATATTACTTTAGTAATGTGGTAGTAATATCATTTTTAAATATTGATACAATTATGTTTGTAATATGTATATTGTTTCCTCATTTCACTTTTATAGTTTATTAGAAACGACAAAACGCGCGCTTCGCACACGCAGTTTGTAGTTGAGTATTGTATATTTTTAAGAATTTATATACATGCAAAGAAGTAATTGTATGCGCAACGTCAATTTAAAATAAATAGTAATTTATCACTCACTGATACGGTTTGCAACAGCAGAGTTGTACATCGTTAACTATATATGTTAAACTGTAAAAACAATAATATGTGTATGACTATTATACATAGACTAATTATGTAAAATCGAAATTATTGTATTAAATATACTTTATATTTTTTATTTTTTAAAATATATATTTATTAAAATAATTATATAGAATACTGAAAAAGTCTTTCTTTTAAATATAAATTTACAAAATTGTATACGTATGGTTTTGTCTCTAACTTATTCGAATCCTCGTTCGATTAATTATTAAGTTTCTAATTCGTTCGAATCATTTGAATAAATTAAATACAAACACAGAACAGATGATTTATTTCACACAAGTAACAAATGACATAAAAATGTAAGACACGTATGTACCTCATGCTCTCTCCGCTGTTGCCCGATGTTTCCTCCTCCTCCTCTCAGATTTCCTTGTTGCACTTACACAACACTCACTCGCGGAAATCATCGATCGCGCGAAATTTCAGGCACTCCCGTACACGATGTGAAATACCGTGAAACGCACAAAATATTATTAGAGACGTGACTTTCTGTCATACAAATTACGTGCAATAAGCGACTTTCTTTACTTCCTGTCCGTTCGAGTTGCGAAGATCGTTGAAGTTCGTACAAATTTCTCTCTTTTCCCGAAAATGGATTACGCGAAATCGATAGATAATTAAAAGCGCGATGCGTAAATGAGATGTAACCGCGACAAAATACCACGGTTTACATTCATAATTTAGATGAATTAGTCTCGTGAAATATCTAACGCGTTAATAAAGAGCTGTCGCCTCAACATGTAATTCGTTTCTCATTACAAGTTGTAGAAACTTAATAATTAATCGAGATACGTTACTTGTTACTGATGTGTACAAATTAATAGCGTTTTAGCCTTATATTCATCGCGATCGAGTCTTGGAAACTAATAACACAAAAGTAATAACACACGGAGCGACTCTCGCCACTGCTTGCCGACTCGACGTTCGACGAGCGAATGATAGCGCGGCGACCTTCGGGTACACAATGGCACGCAAACGTCATGCGTCACCGCGCCGAGAGAAAAACTACGAACGTTGAGAATTCAAGCGACGCAAAAACACAATAGATTGTTTTTGACCGACGTGTTTACGGCGCTACGTCATTTCTTGGAATCCGTGCTCGGTTTTCGGCAAAGGTTTACGGCGCCGTACGCAGGATCATTCACGCGACGACAGTCGAATTGAACGATCATGCCCGCGCCGCTTCGCATATACGTATTGTTCTTTCTTGATACGCGATCGCTCTCTGTGAATAATGAATGATCGATATCATCGTGCGATCGTTGAATTCCCGCAATTTGTGTCAGTGATTTGTGCGGGTATCAGTGCGACGATGTAATCGAACAGTTCGTAGTGGCACTCGAACTCAGTGACAATCGGACTCTGTGACAATCAGACTCTGTGACAATCGGACTCTGTGACAATCGGACACAGTGAGAGCCGAAAAAGTGGCATTTGGATACAGTGAGAGTGACAAGTGACTTTACAAACGGAAGTATAAATTCGCGAGTGTGTTGGAGGACAGCTGAGACAACGACACCTGAGAGGAGGACACCTGAGTGGAGGAGGAGGAGGAGGCATCGGCCGCCATTGCAGAATCAACGTAGATTCAACTCCGCCGCTGCGCATCGTGTCAGTGAGTGAAAAGTTTTTTATTAATTTAACGGAATCTACATTTTTAGATCGTAGTTTGTAGATACATTTCGTAGATCCGTTACGTTAAAATGGATAGGTTACAAATAATTTCGCGTTTTATTTAATATATTTAATTAAAAAAAATCGTTGAACTACATCATAGATAGAAATTACGCGAAATATGACGAATACTATCGATGTATTCGGCCAACTAATCTCTCGTAGCCTATCTATTTTTAATAACAGAATTGATATACATATGTATAAATTAGAACAATATTGTATGACGTGAGATTCCAATAAATTTTGTCGAGAATACTTAAACTTGAAATTATTTTCATACTTTATTTGAGATTATCAATTAACTGCAATATTCAATTATAATATCGGTATCACTCGTGGGGCAAGTTGCTTTTTTCTGGATCTTACGTCATTTATTCTGCATGTCTCGCGATACTCTCAAGATGCGTCTTGCATGAATACATGCATAGTCGCACGCATCTCGTGTATTCT